GACTGCGCCACACAACCTTGTTCAGATCTGTGGCACCTTTAAACCCCCCCCCCGGCCAGGTCAGAGAAATCCAGGACGATTCCAGTACATGGCTCTTAAATACTTGGAAAAGAGCTTTTTAAATTCCCCCTCTCCACGCTAAGTCCACAAAGCTGAAGGAGTGTGTGTGTGGAATGAATGAGGATAACTGCTTAGGTCAGAATGCTGCAATCCTATGCATGTCTGCCAGGTCTGCTCAGAATTAAATCTTACTGAATTCAGTCGCCTTACCCGCAGGTAACGGGGGCGAGTGGGTTACCCGCCTCCCTTTCCAGTCAATAAGCTGAGTTGTAGAAACAGGAGTGCGACTGAACAGAGGAGAAAACTGATCGCCTTTTTAAAACGCCACCATCCCTTGTTTTAAAAAAGTGTGTTTTTCCCTCCAGACGCCCAAGTTAAAAACACTTTAAAAATACTTATAAAAAAAATAATCCGAAAGGATGTGCGATCGTTATGCACACTTCCTGTGAGCAAGCCCCGTTGGACTAAAGTGGGGCCCATTTCTGAGCAAACATGCGCTGTAAATCGCTTAGATGCCCCATTAACTTCGTGGGACCACGCCATAAAAAGCTTATAAAATCCCGGAGAGGGAAATCAAATCGGAGGTCAATGCTTGAGTTTCCGGTGTATGGAACTTGATTGAAAATGGAGTTAAGTGTAAATGTAGCTGGATCGTTGCTATTTCAGCTGGTGCCTAAAAGTGAGTCCCTGATTTCTGTAGCATTTGACTTCCAAGGAAGCACGTTATGGTTAGAATTGCATGAGAGGCACAGTCCTGACCAGTTGACAACCTGTTCATACCTTGTTTGGAACGAAAGTGGATGAATGGAGAAAGGAAGCTAACACGTGCCCCCTGAACACATTTTATGGAAACCTCCATTGAGATAAAGGAGTTTTCCTTCAGCGCAATGGAGACTGGGATCAGCCTATTATTTGAGAGAAAGCCTATGAATATTAACTTCATATTCTGTAAAACACCGGGAACGTCAGTCAGTGCAGAAAAGGTGGCGTACGATTTTATTTGTAGTTTTAAAGTAACGAAGCAGTTAAACAGCCGTCTAGTGGCGCCTTTAAAAAGTTGCATAGTATTGTGGCATAAGCTTTCGTGGATTTAGATTTGTGTTTCCAGTATCTTTGCAGTGTAGTTTGCCTTTCGCTATATGGCTCGGCTGCCATCCTAACTCCGTTTGCTGAGAGAAATCCCCATTTACACTGAGCAGACATGGCTAGGACTGCGCTGCAGACCCGCGCGCTTCCAGACTCTAGTGAGGAATACAAATTCAGGAAAATAAATAACACCTTTGATGGAAAGCTTATTTGTCTCTAAAAAGGCGCGCTCAACCCTTTTGCTTTAGCAAAATCCCTTAAAAAGAAAGATGTGCATGCAGAACGAGAGAGGTGTTTTAGGGTTTGTTAAGGGAGGCTAAGATCCAAGAGGATTGTATACTCAGCCATAATAAATGTGTTCGGATATAGATGCCACAGGATCCTGTTTTTATACTCTACTGCAGAGATCGCAAGTAACTTTCAAAGTTCTGCTTAGGGAGTCTATTCCATTTCATGTCATCGCTCTTAAGAGTGTGATTGGATTTATCTGCGCAGATTGTAGGCACAATGGTGAGTCTGCATTATCGGAAGTTACTGCGAGCCATTTTATGCAATTTTTGGTTTAAAAAAACTGTTAATCTTGTCAGTATCTTTCCCTTTTTGTAACTGTCCCATCTCAGGAATTCCGCGGTGCGTTAGGGGAAGGGCGTTAAGCACAAAGGATGTTTTGTTCGTTCGCAAGCTTAAATTGTTAATATTTATTATATGCTAAGTCGAGGTTTCTCCATCTAATCAAACCCACGCTGCAAACACAGGAGGCTGCCGTTAAGGCCACTTGCCGGAGATTAGTTCTACCGTAGGGCGAGCTTTCCGCATCCGCCCAGGCTTGCACAAAAATCAGTTGGGGGAAGAAAAACCCCGCGCTTCGAGTCAACGAAAAACAAAAGGGAGTGTGGTGGCAGCTTGAAGGACTAGCAGATCTGTTGTGGAAGTGGGCTCTAGCTAAGGAAGTGTGCGCGGTGCGCCGCAAGGTACTGTTCTGCGTTTGCTACAGCAGGGCTGCCCGAATACAATTTTTGCAAACCGGTTTACCACCATTGCTAGGATTCTATTTCTTTACAAACAAAGGCCTTCCCCGGGATTTTGTGCGCCTTACTCTTGTGTAAACGTGCATAAGATTTGCAGCCTTCTGAGCCAGAAACGCTGCCCTTTTCTTTCCTAGTCAATGAGTTTAGGATCAAGGCAATAGTCCCGTTTGATGTCCGCGGGCTGATAACCCAGACCGTGGGCATATTTGTAAGAAAGACCCAGGAATCGTGAACAGTTGCTCCTGTTTCAATTGGGCCAGGTCCCAAATAATGATAGTCGTTTCTTGCCCAGGGAGGGGGAAAAAAAAATCTCATGTCATAATAAATCTGTCTTTAACGTACCGCAAAAATCCCTTGTTGTGTTTGTGGCAACAGCCTAAGGCTGCAAGCCTTTGAGTATTTATCTAGGCGCGAGCCCGCTGAACAGTGCCACTTACTTCCGAGTAGGCACTCATGGATTATATTGTAACAAGCGCGCACGATCCTAGGGGCCCAGCAAAATTGGTTACGGTGACCTAGCTTTGCATAGGATCAGGCTGCAATACGGCTCTTAACTTCGGCGGTAAAATGTGAGCCCATTCGCAAACTATAAAAAGTAAAGGCAGCCGTCTCTGGGTGGCGGTGGTGGTTGAAATTCAAAAGGGGGTAATGCCTTTTATCAAACCAACAAAATATCGTCAAGTGGCGATCCAAGCTTTCCTGGTTCCCCAGGGACACCTTATCAGACGTAAAATGTTCTTGAGCAAAACAGCGGCAGCTAAATTGTGGTGAGAAGCTGGCCTGGTGGAAGGGTATTGCCCTAGTTTATAGGTTTCGAGATTGAAACACGAAGCGCATCAAAACTAGACTTAAAAGTAGCGCGCTGTGCGCAAGGCCTTTAAAAAAAAGGAGCGGATGGCTTCGCAGGAGCAGGCGAACGACCCACATCAATTCCCTTTGTGGTTTCTCATCTAGCCGTGTATTCTGGGAACTATTAACACCTATTTAGCTCTCTTCTGTGACCCAGAGCAAACTCCCCCCTTCTCCCCTGGGGAGGCGGGGGCTATTGCTGGCTCGGTTTTCTTGTTCTCCGCTCGCTTGCTCCCTCTCTCCTTTTAATGCTTCCCAGCTTCCAACTCTTTCCATCCGGTGGTTGGCTTGCTGTGCTGCCAGCATCCTCTTCTGGCCAAAGAAGGGTTAACTTTTTTCTTGGCCTTTTTTTTTTTTTTAAAAAAAACCCATATTTTGGAGACCCTTCCGCGTCTCGGCTCCAGCTCCAAACGTGCATGGCAGCTTGCAGCGCTCCCCGTCGCTTGCGTGCGCGCGCCCTGGGTAGACATTTGGCCCTTTCCCCGCCCCGTTGCTAGCCATGCGTGTGCGCCTTTGGGCAGCCTGGCTCTTTCCCAGGCGCGCGTGTGTGCGCCTTGGAGACGCTCCAAAGGCGAGAGCGCAAGGGGGGCGCGGCTTGCCGAGAAGCGGCTTGCGGCTCCTTCGCCATTGGCTAGCTTGGCGCCGCCTGTCAGGGGAAGCCCCCGCGTCCCGGGCCGTCCCTGGGGAGGAGCTATGCTAATGAGATTGCCATTAAGGGGAGCCGGGGAAAAGAGGCTCAGTCACTTACTTCCCGGGAAGTGAAGTTCTCTCCCCTAGTCTGCCTATATGCCTGCCCATTAAAACAGCCCTTTGAAGGTGGCGGGGAAGAGCTGCTCTTCCCCCCGCAGTTGCTGGATTAACGACTTTTGGGCTGGGACGCCCTTTTGTTTTATTTTTTGCCCTCTCTGGTTTATATTTTAATTTTTGGGGGATACTGGACGCCATGTTGTGGAAACTAGCAGACAATGTCAAGTACGAAGAGGACTGTGAGGTGAGAGCTTAGGGCTGTGCATGGGGCTAGTCCTCAGTGGTTTGGCTGGGGTTTTCTTTTCTTGGACGGGAAACAAAAGGGGCAGGCGGTAGGCGCATCCGCCGGTGGAATGGGGTACTAGGATTGGGGCCTTTAAAGATGTGAGGATGGAAACAAGGGATTTAGAGAGAGTTTATTTCGAACAGAAAGAGGCCGCTTAGGCACTCTGGCCAGGCAGCAAATAATTAAATCGGTGGGGCTTGATTTCCTCATAAAGGAAAATAAGGCGCTAGTCCTATTGAGGCACAAGTTGTAGAATTAATTGATCGAACTACAGTTTAATGTCTTGGATGCCTTTATTGCATTCTGACTTTAAATTCAAAGAAAACCCTCTTCTGCGGGCAGGGGGTGCAACAAGACATTATAGAATGGGTCGCTCTAAAACTTAAAATTGGTGCTTGGATCCAGTTAAGATGAGATGCAAGTTTGCATGGAGTGAGTCAGCTTCGCTGCGGGAGCCGACTGAAGTGTTTGTGCCCTAATGAACCCCAAGCATTTTTACGTGGAAGTAATTTGCGCAATAGGATGGCAGTTTTTGGCTGCTTTCTGCTCTCTGGACCGTTTCGAACTCGCAAGTTAATGGTCCCGGACCTTGAATTGTGTGTTAAAATAGCAAGAACCTCCGAACAATCATTTCTCTCTCTTTTGTATATGCATATAAGAAAAAAGATGTTGCAACCAAGGTCATCAAAGCTGGCGAAGAGCGGAGAAGCTGCCTGGGGGGGGGGAGGACGTGATTGGCACCTCCCCTCTCCGCTTTGGAGGATGTGTGTACTGTCCTAGTCGTAGTCTTTCTCGGTAGTAACTTTCAATAGGATTATGCCTAGGATCTTCCTAAAAATCACCCAATATTTTTTCGTTTGTGTGTTTTTTTAAAACCCCAATTCCCGCTTACTCTAGAGTAGTCCTACTGAAGCTAGCGAGATTTCCCGAGAGAAACGGTTCCTTCAAAGTACAGTAGCTGGAGAACTCGAGTGAGTCCCTGAGGGACATTTTTCTTGTGCGTTGCACCCCCAGCAATAAAAACGCACAGCATGGTCGAGGTCCAGAGCGTGGAAAGCCGCGTTTGCGCAGCGTCTGGAATTCGTTCCAAGAGCGCGGAAAGTGGAGACGGTATCCTAAGCGGCTGCGGTTCGGTGAGCCCTTAAAGCCTGGCAGTCGCGCTGCGCTCAGGCTGAAATGGCATTTTAGGTAATTCTAAAACTGAGTAGTGGGCGACCCCCCCTTCCAAAACCTTCATTTTCCGACGATGGTGCATGGTGGTCCTATCCTGGATGTGAGTCCCCTGGAAGTCGTGGGGCTTTCTTCTGAGTAGACACCTCTGTGTGTACCCCTGTTTGAGCAGAAAGAAGTTTCCCCAAAACTTCAGGACAGGGTAGATCTGCCCTCCCAGAAAACACTGAGCAGTGATTTCCCCCTTTTGTGCTCCGACGGCGCGGCGTTCAGGAAGGAGCGGAAACGCTTAATCCCCTCCGAGCTGCTCCTGCTCGCCGTTTTTTTTTCCCTCCCCGAGGTGAAAATCAGTGCAAACTTCCGCACGCTTTTTCGGCCGAGGTGCGTGCGTGCGTGCGCGCCCCGTCGGAAGTCCGCCCACGGTCGGGGGAGGGGGGCCGAAGGAGGGAAGAGCGAGCGAGCGCCGGAGATCTTCCCTCGGCGAGGCAAGCGCTCCATCCTGTCGGACGGGTTCTGCCCAGCGCGGAAGGGAGGCCGCTCGCTCCTTCTTTTGCCATGCGGGGAGGCAGCGAGGTAGGCAGGAGGAGAGAGACAGAGGCCCCGGGAGGGGATGGCAGGAAGTCGGCGGTCTTGGCATCGAAGTGGTGCCCGTGCCCTCTGGGAAAAGCTGCTTGGCCCGGTTCCTTTTCCTCCGGGGGCGGCGCAGAGAGAGAGAAAAGAGAGTTATACTTCGAGGACGGCTGCCCGGAGGGTTTGGTGGGAATTCTGGCAGGGCTCCTTCCCCTTTAAATCTGTGAGCGGCGGGCAGAAGTTCAACTGGAGAAGCTTTGCACATTGCGCTTATCCACCCTGCAAAAAGAACCCTTAAAAATGTGAAGGGCTGGTGCCTAAAGTCACTTTTCGGTGGTTAAATTACTCCGCCCCACTTTCTAGCCAAGGGCCTTGTCCCAATTGCAAGGGGGATGCGTAAGGGGGTTGGACTAGATGACCCTTGCGGGTCCTTCCAACTCTGCAACTCTATGGCTGGAAACTGGTGTGTTCTGATCCTCTCAAAGCTTTGTGAGGAGCTCGGGTTGCAGTTAATCCGGATTAATTAATCCAGAATAAGGAGAGAGCCTTTTCTTTTTTAAAAAGCCCTTTCGGGATTGCCCCCTCTTACTTTCCACGTAGGGCTGCGATAGATTAGGAGAGACTAGTCTCCTTCCCCCACCCGCTTTTCATGTAGACATTTCGTGTAAACCCATTTAGGATCGGAGCGCCGAGCCCGAACTGTATCGCACTGGGAATTCAGGCCTTCGCTCCCAGCGATGATGCAGAAGGTTACAGGGAAAAGTGCGATCCCCAAGGCGCTCATGTAGGTGGAATTTGTTTGGGTGTTTTAAGGGACTCCCAGTAGCCTGCTCCTCTTTAACACGTTTGCTGGGAAAACGTCTGCCCCACAGCAATCGACGAGGCTGCTTGGCTTTTCCCAGTAAAGTGTGCACAGAACCTTTGCAGCAAGAGCCCAAACAGCTTTACTCGGGAGTAAGTCCCGTGTGCAGCGAGGCCTGCTGATCCGTGCACAGTGGGAGGGTGGATTTGGAATCAAGGAGGCCACGGTTTTGAGATTAAGCTGGGGGAGTTTAAAGGCCACGTTAGGACTTTTTATCCCCAGGCCAGATACTGCTAAATCCGCATCCCAATCCGAAATGGGCTTTTCTCGGGGAGGCGGAGAATCATCCCATGAGCTTCCCCAGTTGCGGGAGGGAGATCCCAGGGATTTGAACTGGTCCCCTGATCTCCCCGTGGAACTGAGCCTCTTTTAAAATGCACTTTCCGCTTCGGAGCGAGTCCCAGATAGGGACAAGGGGCAGTGCGAGCCTCTGGCATGCTTGCTTGGAAGTAAATCCCTCTCGCCCTACTCTGCGTGCAGTGGTAAAGAGTGCAAAGGAGCGCAGCCGGAGTTGCAATCCTATACACACTGAACCTGGGGCTCAGTCCCGTGGATTTAAGCGGGACTGACTTCTGAGTGGACATGGCCAGGATTTGCCCTACTATTGGTACAGTATAAGAAAATGGCAGGGTCGCCTGGATAGATATCTGGAAGATGAGGTGTGCAACTTTCTCTTCCTCTTCAGATGAGGTCTGCTTTCGCTTCCTTCCTGAAGGCTTCGGTGAAATCCAGCATCTAAAAGTCACCCCAAGTGCGCTTTGGCTTAACAATATCTATGAAATCCTGAGCGCGCGTTCTAGATAGCAAGTCCTTGCCAAGCGTTGCTTTTCGCGTCTGTTATGGGTGCCTGCGATAGGTGAGAGAGGAAAAAGCAAAGATAACTCTGAGCGGGTACAGATTATTTCTCGGCAGTCTGACCCATTCATTTCCCTGGGATCAGGTTTTGTTGAACGCCCAGAGAAATGTGCATAGGGACATGAAAATAATAAAAACAAATATAAAATAAACGATGGCACCGTCAGGTTATCCTTCAATCTCCTCCCCCCCCCCAGTCATTCTATTTCTGATGCCTTTGAAGGTGGCAGCGTCTCCCTCCTTCCTCTGGTCCATTGGTCACACCGCAGCGTCTCTGGCTCCTTCCAGAAGCCGCTGCCGCCCCCGCTTCCCTTCCCGCAGGGTCCCGGTCGGGATCTCCATTCTCTTCTGATTAACCCGCCCCTGTTAGTTTAACGAGCGTGGAGGGAGAAGCGGCTTTTAAAAACCCCAGGCTTATCAGTGTGGTTTAGACATGCTTTAAATTGCTTGGTGTTTTTGTTGAAAAGTTTTAATTTCATTCATTTATTGATTAATGCTGCGTTGAGGTCGAGAATTTTTTTTTTTGCTAAATGATTCAGGGGTTTCAAGATTACATGTTTGCTTTTTAAAGAAATCAGTACTGGAAAGGTAGCTGTTTTGTTTTCGGCAGATTTTAATACTCTGCTCTCTCCCTCCTTAACAGGCGCCCTGGGCAGTGAGTTATATTAACTTTTCAATGGCCACGGGAGGGGGGTATTTTTTAAATTAACTCTGTGATGGGCATAGGAGTGTTGTAAGACATTTCCCAAGACGGTGGATTTGTACTTTAAGACAACGTGAAGGCAAGCATTTGTTTATTTTTAAGGAGGGGAACACTAATACAGTCGACATAAAACTTGTAAATCACCAAATTTCAATTCTGGGCTTTTTAGGTAGTAAGGAGAGTACATCTTTCTTTATAACAAATGGGGGAAATTTCCTTCTTTCCACAGTATTGAACAAAATGATTACCCCCCACCCAATCTAAGCAAATTAAATAAAAAGCAAACTCAAAATTTACAGTACTAAACAAATTTTCTCTGGAAGTAAGATCCATTGACATAAATGGGTTTTTCGTTCAAGGACATGCACTTTGATCTAAGTATATGCAAAAAGCCTCCCAGCTCTATGGCAGGAAGCCCAAAGTGCAGTCCTGTGTACACTTTGGGAGTCCATGTGCTCTGTGGCACTTACTTCTGAGTAAACAAGTTGGAGCGTACGTCAAGGATTTCAGGGTGACTTGGCTTTACTCTTCAACCTCCCCTTCTTTCCCCTATCTCTCCATTGATTTGAAACTGAACTTAAATTAAATTAGTGTGTTGACTTAAAAAGTATTTGTATTTATGAATGAGGCAGGAGATTCCTAAAAACCAAACTGGTCCCAAACGCATTTGCTGAAAATAAGATCATTTGAACTTTCGGTGGGTGAGTGAGGCTGCAGTCCTCAGATAAAATTTAATTTGGTCCATCAGGTGCTAGTATATATTTCCCCCCCACCTCATTCAGGGTTAGGCTGCAGTCTTTAAAAAAAGGGGGACAGAGAGGATATTTTAGACTCATCCAGAGTGTTTCATTGTAACTTTGTTACTTCAAATGGGTCATTTGGAGGACTATGACTAAAAATCTTTGTGTGCCAAGTAAATAATAATAAATTGAAGCCTGCAAGGCTTTTGAAGCACAACCCTATGCATGTCTACTCAGGAGTAAGATCCATTGATGCCAGGTAAGTGTAACATTGCAGCCTAACTTGCAATGCTACCTTGCTCTGAAAGACAGAATGTAACACTAAGACTTGTCGATTTACAGTGGACCTTGCTTCCTGAATGTGCTGTTGGCTCCTTGAGGGGGCTACCAGTGACCTCTCCCTCTCCAAATATCCTCCTTTCAGGCTGGTACCTCTTTTATAGAAATCAACTTCCTCCTCTTTGCTCCCCCCACCCAGTCCAGACCCTATGATGCCTTGGACTGACACATCATCTTTCTTTCTACAGGACCGTCACGACAGCAGCAGCAATGGGAACCCCAGACTGCCCCACCTCTCGGCCGTCAGCCAGCACTTGTACAGTCCGGCACCCCCCCTTTCCCACTCGGGGGCCTCCGATTTCCAGCCCCCTTACTTCCCACCCCCGTACCAGCCTCTGCCTTACTCCCAGTCCAGTGATCCTTACTCTCACCTGGGTGATCCTTTCTCCATCAACCCGCTCCACCAGCCGCCGCCGCCTCCCCCCAGCCAGCAGCAAACCAGTTGGCCCAGCCGCCAGACCAGCCAAGACCACTCCAGTTTGTCCCACCACGCTCGGTCTGGTTTGGTGCCCCATCTCCCGGCTCTGGAAAGCGGCTCTGCTGGGGTGAGAAGGGAAACCTACAGGCGATCTGAGCTGCTCCTGCCTCACGGCCACGGCCTCGATGCTTCCAGCTTGGCAGAGAACCTAGGACTGCATGAAATGGCCCACCAGATGGAAGAGGTGCAGGTAAAGATTGGTGAAAGTGATAAATGGTGTCCCTGCAGTCCTGGATGCCCTGTAGCCTAGAAGAAAAGCTCTGGTTGCCTCACCAAAGGGAGTCTTCTTTAAAGGAAGGGACTGTAGCTGAGTGGTCGAGCATCCACAGGTTCAGTCCCCAGGACCACCAAATTAGGGTTGGGAGAAAATATTGTCAGAAACCCCAGAGAGTTGCTACCCATCATTGTAGACAATATACTGAGCTAGATGGACCAATGTCCTGACTCTGTTGAGGCAGCTTCCTAAGTTCCATGAGCATCAGTCAAACGTGGCAAACTTAAGGGCTGATCCTTCTTTATGCTTTTCATTTATACCTGACTTTCCTTGAAAGAGCTCAAGGCAGCATACATGCCCCTCCCTCAGTTTGTCCTCACAACAACCCTGTGGGGGTAGGTTAGGCTGAGAGATAGTGACTGGCCCAACATCACTTCATGAGAATTGTAGCTGAACAGAGATATGAACCTTTCCAGGTCAGGGTTGGGGGAACCTGTGGCCCTCCAGATTTTGCTGAGCTCCTAACTTCCCTGACCATTGACCATGCTGGCTGGAGTCCAGTCATCTCTGGAGGGTCACCACACCACAATGAGGCAAATGGCAGTCTTGCATGGAAGAGCCATGGAGGAGAATCATGTGCCCTGTCTCTTGTTCCATAAATGGTCGGCATACATAGAGTGCTTCAGTGATGAGGATGTACTTGTTGGTTTTAGTTTTAGTCCCCTAATTGAGGAATTGAGAACTTGTTCATTGACTTGAACTCCCACCAGCCCCTGCCAATATGGCCTGTGGTCAGGGTTGATGGGAGTTGTAGTCCAACAGCATCTAGAGGACCACAACCACTCCTAACTCTAGTTCAAAGCACTTCACATCTATTTCAATAATTTGCCTTTTGAGTTAGGTCAGAATTATCTCTGCATTGCTGAGGAGTGGCTGGCTTAGTGAGTTCACTGTGAGGAGAGATTTGGAGAGTCCCTCCTTCATTCTCTTACAGAGCAGCCCTATGCCTGCCTGCTCAGAAGTAAGATCCATTGGGTTCAATGGGACTTCCTCCCAGCTAAGTACACACAGGATTGCATCCTTGGTCGTTATACAAAACCGTTGCAAGGGAACCCACTTCTGCATTATTGACCAGGTGTTCCTAAAGCTCAGAGAGGTCACTGCAGTGTCTTACAGATTAAAACCAGTCACTTAAAAGTTCCATTCCTTGCACTGTGTTCCAAAATCTGCAGAATATCACCACTATGAATAGACCATATAGAACAGGCTCTTTGGGGGGTGGGGGGTGGGAAACACTGTAGACTGGAGCCCACCATTTTGCTCAGCAAGAAGCTAGACCCGTTTACTAATTTGTAGAATAAACCCTAGACAGATCCACTCCATGCATTTAAAGGACATTCAATGCACATTTTAAGCCCATGTCTTCCCCTGAAGAGTCCTGGGAGCTGTGGTTTGTTGAGGGTGCTAGGAATGTGTAGCGGTGTGAGGGGCAAACTACACTTCCCAAGATTCTTTGGGGGAAGTCATGTGTTTTAAATGTATGTCAGGTGTCCTTTAATAATTTAACAGTATGGCGTGGCTCTCCTTCCTCTTTGTCCAACATCTTTTTCCTCCGGACTGAAGAGAAGGTAATCGGTCCACAAAACTTTATAATGGTCCCCATTTCGGAAGCCAAATTAGGGCAGCAGAACTGCAGTTTCATGTCTTGTGCACACTGCAATCCTTAAAAGCCTTGGGTGAAATTTATCTCTTACTAGTTGTGCTGAAGTCCTGGTGAAATCGGTGTGCAGTTAAGTGCATGGAGCAACAGTCCTAAATGTGCGCAGATACCCTCTGAGAAATAAGATAACTTAATGGGACTGAATTCTGAGTTAGCATCAGAAATGGGCTGCACACACTAACTTGCATGAAAATAAAGCGCCACTGATTTCAGTAGGGCTGGCGCTTCTGTATGCATTCTTAAGAGAAGACTGTATACCTGATTGTTGGTCTCTGGTCACTACGTGGGCATCCTATTGGAATAAAAGGCTCTTCTTGCAATTAAGATGTTTAGGGTTTAGCCTTAAAGTTAATCCGTAGGTTCATAGCCATTTGGAGGAAAATAGCATTGTGTATGTGCATTTCGTGTAGTGGGGGGGGGAGAGAAGGTGGGGTGTATTTTCTTTATTCCACAATTGTGTTCTAAAAATTTCACATTCTCTCTCCAGCATGTGGAAGATCAGCATTTATTAATGCATGACCAGACAGTCATTAGAAAAGGTCAGTAAATCTGCATTCTCCTGTTGGTTTTTCCTCTTGTCTTCTTTTTAAAAAGATAAGAATTTCTAACTGATAAAGGCTTTTCATAGCGGTAGATTGTTTTGGAAAAAAGATTTTTCTTTCGTGTGGCTTTTTTTCTTTTTTAAAAAATGAAGTTTTTGTAAATGAAAAATAGAGCTCCCCTACTCCTTTCCAGTTCTCTGCATGAGCTAGCATGTGTGCCGGAGGCTGTATTCCATATACTCCAACCCATTTACTCCAAAGTAAGTAGGTTGTGGGTTTGACTGGAGTGTGCATTTGTTTACATACAGATGCTTTTAAAGGCTGTTAAAAAAAAATCCAGGATGTGGAATTTGGGACTAATAAAATGGGTTATTAAATTTTCTTGTGGAAAATTTAAAAACTAGTCTGAGCTGTAATTTCCCCAGGAACAGCAAATAACTGTACTTGCTATACCAGGAAAAAAAATATCCTGATGCAACATTCACATGGGTGAACTGTTGCTTTTTAAGCCTCAATATTCTATTGTATGGGAAACCGATTGCTTCCCTTCTTGAGATTATTACCAAGTTATGGTTTTGCACAGTGCAGATTACAGTATGATTATGTCAAGATTATGTTAAGGCAAAAATCTAAGGCTATTGCAGATACTTTTGAATATTTGGTTCCTTTTTCATATGGTCTTTGGAAGTGAAGCAGGAATGTTTGGCAAGGCAGGTGAATTAATGAAGAATTGTCAAAAGCTGATTGGGTGGTGGGAAGAAATGTTCTATTGATCTAATCCGGGGAAGAGTAGATGTGGATTCCAAGTATTACAATACAGGCTGGAGAAAAGGCTAAGAGCTTTTGCTTGTTGTCAAATTAACCAGGGAATGCCACTGTTTTGAAGCAAAGGTCTTTATTCTTTCCTGCATCTAGGAGTTTGCCCATGTTGCTTTCCTTTCCTTATTAGAAAGGGAAGACTTGTCACTACTTACATTAATGACCTGGGTGGAGGGGAGATCACTGTTGAAAGATACAGGCAAATACACAGATAGGTACAGGCAGGAATGGAGGGAGAAAAGCGAAATTGCCTTCAGGCTTTCTAAGCAGGGAGGAATGGGTTAACCTTGCTGCCCTATTGCTTCTAAATGCATGGGCTTTAGGATTTATCCACAGTGAAAAGTTTTCATTGGTGGCATTTTTTTTGGGGGGGGGGGCTGATGTGGGGGATACCAAGGTAGATGAACTCCTTGAATCTTGTTCTCTGTCCCTTCCTGCCCCCTACTTTGTTTAAAAATAATAATCAAAGGAGAGTTTTTCCTGAAAAACCTCAGGGTGACTTAGAAAGGAAAAATGTGACTGAGAAAAAGCAGAAATGTTTTTTTGCTGCAAACGGTGCCGATCTGAGAATTAGCTCACGGCAGAAGTATTTTTTAATTTATTTTTTGCTGTCAGTTTCATGGCGCTTGAGAATCTTCCTCTTTTGATAAATAAAAGTATTGGGCCTGATTGTTAAACCATTTCCTGGTCCATACATTAAAGGGGGGGGGAGGGACATCAGCCTTTGATTTGGCAAAACATGACTGTTTCTCAGGCACACGTAAGATAAGTTCTACAGACTTGCTTCATTTTCTACAATTCCTGCAATGCAACCGTGCATTTATGGTGGCTGCTTGCAAATCCCACCTCCCCATGCAAAAAAAGCAGGGAATGCATGACTAAAAAAGAGGATATAGATTTGCATGAAATATGCAAATTATTACTGTAAGTTAAATAAATGCAATGATCTCATGTTAGTGGGAAATACGGTGACCTTTATGCTTGCTCAGTCTGCTATCCAGGTGAGAGGCAGATTCAAGGTTGATGTTCTCCCACCTTACGGTTCTTTGTTGTTAAAGACGGAACAGCTGTTCAGACAGAGGATTTCTCCCTGTCAAGTAGGGCTATGCAGCCACTCAATGCCATTTCAGGTTTCAGAAAAAGGAGACTTCCTTTAGTTAAATGAAGCTTGCATTTTATAGCAACAATAAAACCGAGCATTTCTGCCAGAGAAAAATAGGCTGCATTGCTGCAAACTGGAAAAGCAGTTAAGCATGCATATGTATGTATTGCTCTTTTATCATTAAATAATATTAGTAGGAGTGCATCAAATGTGGATGGTCTTCTACATTTTTTCACTTTCTTTCTGTATAGTTTGCAGTTAAAAGTTTCATGAGAACCCCATTGGGAAATGCATCTTAATGGGTTAATAAAATACAGTGGATTTATGACGTCTAATAGATCTATTAAATGTTAAGTGATTTAGACTTCCCTAAAGGAAAACCCAAAAGTGGGGAAGAAAACACACCATCCTCTTTCCCCCCCTGTATATCTTGGTTCCCCTAGGTCCTATTTCATTAACGAAAAACAATGCATTAGGTCTCCCTTGCCAGAAGGATGGACTTATCGGCGTCGTGATCAACCCCAACGAAGTATTCTGCTCTGTTCCTGGGCGGCTTTCTCTTCTCAGCTCGACGTCTAAATACAAAGTGACAGTAGCAGAGGTTCAGAGAAGGCTCTCTCCTCCAGAATGTCTCAACGCTTCGTTGCTGGGAGGGGTTCTTCGAAGGTAGGAGGCTGTGATTTCCAACCCCCTTTTCTCTCCTCCCCCCCCAGCCCCGTCAAAACTATTCCAGTGACTAGAGCTTCTTATACCATCTCTTAAGCCAAACGGCATGTAAATACCATTTTTGTGTCTCAACAATTTTGCGCAGGGAGAGAGAGTGAAACCCAAACGCTGCATCCTAATGCGGTTTATTTCCAAGCTCTGTGTTCACGCTCTTCTTTCTCTTTAGCACCCCTTGCATTTCCAGAAATGAAAAGTGCTATAACAAGTCTAGAAACAAGTTCTCTTTTTCCTGTTAATATGACACGTTGCTTCTCAGTCTACAAAAAGAGAATCTTGCACCCATTATTTTCAGGTTTTCTTACTCACTCGGCTGCCTGTGTATCACAGTGTTTAAATGGCGTTCACATAAATTAATAATCGGCCGATTCCTCTCCCACCTTTCAACCCAAGGGTACAATTTCCAGTTTGCTGTTAAGGATGCCAACTGGCCAAACTTCTCACACACATAGATACATGCCCACACCCATGTGTCTTTAATAGCAAGTCAGAGGTGCAACACCGGCGGGTGAAGCTTTCGGAAGCAAAGTGAGCCATGCTCCCTGCTAATGTCTGTGCACAGAGCTGCTGTTAAAGGCACAGCTGCAGAGACAGATCAATAAGTTGGCAACCCCAGGGGGAACTTTGTTGGAAAGATGTCCAGGGCTCCTGCTCTGCGGAACAAGCAAGGGGGTCTCCAATGCAGTTGGGGTTGGCTTACTGCAGGCATAGGCAAACTCGGCCCTCCAGATGTTTTGAGACTACAATTCCCACCATCCCTGACCACTGGTCCTGTTAGCTAGGGATGATGGGAGTTGTAGTCCCAAAACATCTGGAGGGCCGAGTTTGCCTATGCCTGGCTAACTGCATTTTGAACTAACACATATTGTTATCTAAAGACTGGACCCTCCCTCGCCCAAGATCATGAAGTCTAGGGCTAAAAATGACCTCTAACTGCACCCATGGAGAATTCTAACTTGGATAGAGAGAGGAGAGATCTTCTGAGCAAGGTTCTTGGATAGGTTAAAGCACACACACAGAGTGTTTTAAGAGCATCTGTTGTGGTTACTTTCTAAGAAGAACCAGAGCTATTGGCGTCCTTGAGGAATAATCAAAAGCATGTGGTTTGAAACACCAAAGGGGTGTGCTGGTGAATCCAGCTCAGACCCACCCTCCCCAATATTCCTCCTTCTCAAATGGTGCTCCTGATTTCGAAGGCCTGGGCTGGGATTGCAATCTTGGTTAATATATCTATGCTTGTGCCGCAACAAATGCTCAACTTGATGCTCCATGCTTGTAAAATGTTCAATTTTCATTACGCCTGCCATAAGCGTAATGATCTTTGATAGTGTGAATGCAAAGGCAAAGCGTATTCTCTCTCCCCCCCCCCACACCGCTTCCTTTCTTTTTGATCTCGCTTTCTGATGTTTATGTGATGGAGCATTAAAAAGTAGGTCAAAGCTTGTTTTTCCATTCTGACCCCCCCCGCCCTCGATTCCTCCCCCCCCACCCCCGCGCAACACAACAGAACTGCACTGAATGTCAGTAATTTGGCATTTCTCAATTGCTTTGAAATGTGGCCTCTTTCGGGGGAGGGGGTGTGCAGCTAAATAAAACACTGTCCACCTCTTTCCCCCCGCTATTTGCAGAGCCAAATCTAAAAATGGTGGCCGATCTCTAAGGGAGAAGCTGGACAAAATTGGCCTCAACCTTCCAGCTGGCAGAAGGAAAGCTGCAAATGTGACTTTGTTGACATCGTTGGTGGAAGGTCAGTCTTAATTCTTTATTTTTTAAAAAGAGCCTTTCTGGGTAAAGGACAAACGAGGTGACTTGGATGAGCATGTCCTCTAAAGCAGTGTTGTTCCATTTTCAGACTTTAGCCCAAATATGCATATGCTTCAGCCTTTGCCAACATGGTTCTCTCCAGTTGTTTCTGGACTGCAGTCCCTGGCTGGGGCTGATAGGAGTTGTGGTCCAAAATGATTTGGAGGATGAAGGGCAGACCCACACCATGCATTTAAAGCACATCCAGCACACCTTTAAAAACTCCAGACTTCCCCCAAAGAATCCTGGGAAGGGTGAATTTCCCCATTTGCAGAGCCAAAATCCCCGGTAAAGGTAAAGGGACCCTGACCATTAGGTCCAGTCGTGGCCAACTCTGGGGTTGCGGCGCTCATCTCGCTTTATCGGCCGAGGGAGCCGGTGTACAGATTCCAGGTCATGTGGCCAGCATGACTAAGCCGCTTCTGGCGAACCAGAGCAGCGCACGGAAACGCCGTTTACCTTCCCGCCGGAGCAGTACCTATTTATCTACTTGCATTTTGAGGTGCTTTCGAACTGCTGGGTTGGCAGGAGCAGGGACCGAGCAACGGGAGCTCACCCCGTTGCGGGGATTCGAACCGCCGACCTTCTGATCAGCAAGTCCTAGGCTCTGTGGTTTAACCCACAGTGCCACCCGCGTCCCTAAAACTCTTAACTAATTACAGTTCCCAGGAGTGTGCTCCATAAGTATGCGCTGGATGTACTTTAGATATATGGTTTGGATCTGGTTCTACCCTAAGAGTGTTTAACTTGAATTATTTGTTTTTTGCTTACCACTACCGCATGGTGTGTCAGTGTTGCTGTTGAGACTTGCGCCCCCCCCATCCCCGTTGAAGCCCAGTGCTCCAAAATCATTAGGAGGGAGAAAGAGAGAGAGATATAAATGTGGGGGTGCAATTTCACAAGCATTAAATTGGGGGTGGGGCCATTGATGTAATGCTGGATGTAGGCTGTGTGTGTTCATCTGAGCCTGCGCAGACTCTAAACTGGAAACAGAGCTGCTGTAACTCCATCCTTGTGACTCATCTGTGTGTGAACAAGCAGCTGATCTGTGCTTGAGTAATCGACAATCCCAAGTTTTTATTCATAGAAATTTTTATGACAGCACTTCTCAAAAGATCTGGATAGCCAGTGTGTGCATAGTCTCCTTCGTTCCTGTCTCTTCTCCCCCGCCCCCAGATTATGTCTCGATCCATACTTTTACCGTTGGCCAAATAAATTTATTTCTTGGATGGGAAGGCAGAGTGTGCTCCATCGTTGCTGCGGATGTGGTGTAAGCAGGAGAGCAAATTGGGTAGCCTCTCCAGTGGAATCCTAGGAACCTCTCATCATTTAACTAATTCATTTCCAGAGGCACATTAGTGTGTGTCTCGCCCCACTGCATAACTTCTGATTAAGGAGTTTGATACAAAGCTTTAAGGGGACCAGATCTAGTTGAAATTAATCCATAAATTAAGAAAGTGTCTAAAAAGAGTTTTAAGAATCCGGAATGAGAATGTTCGTTCTGATAGCTAGCTTAGGAATGTGCCCGAGACAGCAGTGGTTCAGTGGTGGAGAGTTCCCAGTAGAATCCAGTGTTTTGAAAGAGCAATAGCTCACCCATAATAAAAGCTCCATCAGCCTCCAATAACCTTCAGATCAGAGAGAACTGTTTCCAAAAGGATTATTATTATTTTTTTACTTGGCGGTGGAGTTTAAGGCGAGAGTGTAGCAGACAGAAAGCACATGCAGTGGTTTACTAACTGAGAGCAATGCTTTATTAAAGCCATGGTTTCTTTGGGATAAAGAATCTTTGGGATTGCAGCCATGGGTTCTTTTTAGGTTTTCTACAAAGAGAATGTGTGTTTAAAGCAAAAGATTTAATGAAGGAGGAAGGGAGAACTTGTTGGTACTACAATTCCCACCATCCATGACTGATAGCCATTCTGTTTCGGGCTGGTTTGAGTCTCAACAACATCTGCAGGGCCACAGATTCCAAATTTTGGATTAGATGGATTTGCAGTTCCATGTCTTTAAGCACGTGGTGTACACCCATTTGAAATAATTAACTGAAATAACTCGGGGGGGGGGGCTGAGCTAGTTCACATGTGCATGGATGTTTAACTCTGATGAATGGAAAATGAATGTATGAATGGTGTCCATTGAAAACAAGCATTTCTGAGATGATGCACCACCTGTCTGTAGCAGCTAATCTAGGATGGTTCACTCAACACTTGCAAGAGATCACTTGGTGCACGTTCATCACTTTTATTGCAACATAGGCGAACCATACTGTATTTTCTGAGCAAATGTGTTCCATCACCGGAATGCCGGGTCGATTGAATTCAAATGGGTGAAATATGCTTTGCATCCCACATCTTTTGTTTAACTGGATTGTCTGGGTGGAATCCGGATCCATTAAAATGAATAGTTGCTTTGCTAGTTGTTTTGATGGGAGTTGTCCTCAAGTTTTGGATGAGTGTCCTTTTGGTTCAAGCTGCACCATCCTTATGGGAGGGGATGCGCCAAACTTGTAAGCCAACCGTGGTAGCTTCTGTCGCTGTGCGGCTTTACAAATATCTAAGCACCTCGGAATTTTGTGTTCATCCAAGCTACTTAATTGTGAAGTAATATTTTGCAATCTCTTTTGACATCTTCCAAAAACAGTCTGGGAACAGAGGCCAATTACAGGATGAGAAGGTAGAATTTGGCTAATTATTGGGGTGGGGGTGGGGCGGGGACGTAGGATGATGCAAGAAACTCTGCCTCAATCCTAAACAAAATCCCTAGAGCTCCAGTCCGAAGAGGATGTTTCTGTATAGACAAATGTCCCAAAAGGGTTTTTTGCTGAAACTTGTTTTTCAAGAGAGCTTTGTTTGATCAATAGAGTAGCTCAATAAGTCTCCATCCTTTTTGGAGTCTGGACCCACCATTAGCCTAACATGTATGCTGTGGGAAAACCAGGCCATCTTTTTTTATTCCCCATGAGAGCATGGCAGCCGTTTGGGGCACCTTGGTCTCTTGCACGATTTCAGGAAAAGATCTCCCGCCCCCCCGAAAAGTGTTTTTTTGGGGGGAGGGGTCCATGATCTTGCAAGGCTCTATGTGTTTTTGGCGCTGTACCCGAAGAAAATGCTTTTTCCTAGCCTGTGATATCGCGTGTTTCATGTGACTTGTGCAGGATTTTGGACCTGGAAGATAGTGTCCCGGATTTGGGCCACGTTGTGTTGGAGGGTATGGTATGTGAGGACTCACACCGTCTTACTTCCACATATTTATAGGGTGACAATGCTACTGCTGAAACCCTCATTAGGTCAGCCTGCAACCCAGTTAGCATAGCTTTTGTCAACCTGGTTCATTCCAGATGTTTGGGACAGAAGCTCCCATCAGGGATCAGAGACTGGGTGAAACTGATGGGAACTGTAGTCCAAATGGTAGATTGCTTCAAGATGGTGTGGACCTTCTCTTCTTCCCAGCTGAAAATCACTTTCTCTTCTGCATCGTGTGTTTTTGTGTGTGGAGGGGAATAAGTTGGTGCGCTCACAAAGAGACAGGCCCTGTCCACTCTTGGGCCTGGCTGTGCCAGCCTGTAGCTCCCGATGTATTACTCATTTCACCCCAGAGATTCTAGTCCTTGATGGTGAAAAAGTTTCCCCACCCCTAGCCTAGCTGATCCACACCTTAGAACAAACCAAAAGGCTAGCTAGAACAAGGGGGTGAGGTTTGTGAGGCCTTGGCCTAATTTTCCTTGGGCAGCAAGGAGAAATGGAGGACACCGCACCCATATTGTGGACTCTGGCCACTGGTTGCACCAGCTTGGTCCCCTGTCTGCACGCAGCCCCTGACAGGCCACCCTCAAGGGTTATCCTGTGACAGAATTTTGCAAGTCACTGGTTTAGACTAAGAACAAATAAACCCCCATTGGAGCCTTTGGATATCAAGGCAGAATTGCTCAGGTTTCTTCTAGACAGATTTTGAAATCGAGTGGCACTTAACGTAAATTATGAGCCTGCTGGAAAATTAACTTGGACTTTATGGTCTTAAGTAGGGCATATCATGAAAACAGTGTATTATGGAAAATTTGTGCTGCAAACTGCTTTTGTTTTTTTGGAGGCGACGTATTAAACTAATATTAGATATCAACTTAATATCTAATGTAACGCACCCTGGGACCTTGGGGTGAAGGGTGAGTAATTAATAAAATGAATAAGAAGAGGATGATAATCACAGCTTTATTTTTGTGGTTCTTTTCTCATCTTTTCCAGGCGAAGCTGTACATCTTGCCCGGGATTTTGGCTACGTCTGTGAAACTGAGTTTCCTTCCAAAGCTGTGGCTGAATACTTAACTCGGCCGCATCTGGGGCGTAATGAGATGGCTAACAGGAAGAACATGCTGCTGGCTGCAAAGTAGGTATTCTCTTTTTGAACATGAGCATCCTGGTTGACCAATTTGTATTTTTAGCATTTGTATTGTAACCCTTAGTTCTATGTAAAGGAAGACTGTGATCTGCATGTTAAAAGATTTAGGGCAGGCATAGGCAAAAATGTGGCCCTCCAGATGTTTGTGACTACAATTCCCGTCATCTCTAGCTAATAGGACCAGTGGTCAGGGATGATGGGAATTGTAGTCCCAAACATCTGGAGGGCTGGAGTTTGCCTATGCCTGATTTAGGGGATGGTGGCAGTTGTTGAGGCTTGCTTTAAGGCAAGGCTTCCTGATATTGCTGGATGGGTCATGCTGGCTGGAGCTGAACAATTACCTGAAAGTTTCCTTGTACACAGCCTATAGGCTCCTACAAGGGCTGGTTCCAAGTTCAAGGGCCCTCTGCCTAGTGTCCTCAGATGGGTCCCCTCCCACATCAGTGCATTTTTTGAAAATTAAAGCAAGCTTAGGTTCCTGAAGATGTTGAGTGTATATGTTTGCCTGATTCTGTCTTAAGCAATGCTACAGAATATCGGGGTGATTTTCATAGTAATAGAGCAAATTGTCGGAATTCTTACGCTTTTTGACATGCAAAGTTTCTTGGGGGTGGGGGGCTGTTCACTTCCTGGCAGCTCCAGGGAGGGTAGAAAAAGACTCATTGCAAAATGCTTTCAGTTGATCTCTGTTGACCCTCTGTGGTGCTCCAGATGTTCTTGGACTCCAGCTCCCATCAGTCTCGGCCAGCATGGCCAGTGGCTACTGATGATGGGAGCTGTAGTCAAACAGCAGGTTCCTCATCCCTGTTAGTAGGCAATTTATTCATAGAGACTGAGCTCTGACTCCATATCAGCCTGTTTCCTGTGCTCCTTCCGAAGTTCAGCAAAGTTGGGTTCAAACTCACCAAAGTGAATGCTTTAGTTCAAATTAGAGTGGTGGAGTTAATTGCATGCTTCATCTCTCCTCCCTCCCCAACTGAAAGTCATGCACAGCATCCAAAGGTGCTTCTGTGTTTGGTTTTTGCTGATCACCCACCCTCTCTAGTCCAAGAACAAGCTGCTCCTCAAGGTTTGGGAAGACCTTTTCAGGACAGCGTGGGCTGTGGCTTGGTCGGTGGTGGTAGGAGGGCTTCGGTGGAGAATGATGGAAAATTGGTGGGACTTGCCTTGCGCAAATGGGTGTGTTTCGCATCCATGTAAAATCACCATTCAGCTCAAGACTTCTTTAAAAGACTTCCATTTTGGGGGTGACACTCGCAGATTGAAGCGTACTAAAAGAAAATGTTTGAGGTGAATTTCGTCTGATGTCTGATGTCTAAATCTACCAAATATTTTTATTTTGAGTATTCTTAAACCAACCTTTCACTTTTTGTTTCCCCACATTTGTTTTGTCCTAAGTTTTTTTTGTGTGTGTGTTTTTAATGGAATAGTGGACTTCTCCAGGAGGCTGTAGCTATTTTGTGTTTAAAAAAATGTTGGATGGACCTCAGGATTGCATAGCTAGTTCCTGATACAATAGAGTTTTATGGTGATTTGTGCCAAAATCTGGTTTGGGTACCATGGTGTCTGCTTAGAGCATTTTGAGGTTTGGAGTGCAGCCCGATTTTTACTGAATCCAGTGGTGAAATTCTCTTTGAATGGAGAAAGGATTTTAAGAAGAAATCTGAAGGCTCCAGAATGCACCACACGTAGGCTATTGTTTCAGGATGACAGCTTTCCAAAGTAGAGCATTACGTATGTTTCTGCATTTGGGGCTGGATGAAAACGCTTTTTATTTTTAAATGGTGCTTAAAATGTCAATAGGAGGAAATAAGGACCTTTTAGCTTTAATATGTCTTGGCGAATGCTTGCAAGATCAAAAGGCACCACGTGCCTTTCGGAGCACAGATTCATCAAATCCTAGTAATACAGTGATCCCTGTGGGGGTTTTAAGATGTGAAACATCCAAAAGCATTTTAGGTGCATCCAGCAACACATTTCCACTTACAGCATGTAAACTTGGTGAATGGTTTGGAATTTGCAGGTATTTAAACTTCAACCATATTTCTCCAGTGAGAGATAGCTAGCTAAATTCACTGTCTCTGTTCCGTTGCCTTCCATACCTTCTGCAAAGCCAAAGCTGTGGAAATTGTCATGCAACTGTACCTTAAAAGCAGATTAAATAAAGCAGGTCTAGGCAGAAGATCATACGGAAGGGAAGGTTTTCCTTCCAGTACCCAGGGCCTGGTACACTAGTACCACCCTCCAGAATTGAGCCTGGTGGCTATGTGGGTGCTTGTGCCAAGTTATAAGGATTGGCGTAATACAATCTTTTCTTGCTGCCCAAGTAATACCCTGGCAGCAGCATTCTGCACTAGTGGCACCCTGTGGACTGTATTCAAGGGCAGCCACACACAGTTCATTGCAGTAACCCAGCTAAGAGGTTGGTTCACTGATGCCCAACTGTCCCAGCCCAGGAAGTGTTCGTCATGGAACATAGTAGCTTCTTATCTACCAAGTCAGACCATTAGTTTTCCCCAGACCTTTCTGGAGAAGCCGAGGGTTTTACCCAGGGCCTTTTTAAATGCACTCTGCCCCTGAGCTGAGGCCCTTTCCTAAGCCACCTGTGCTTTCAGAGAAATTTTAAAATTTTAATTTATTAAATTTGTATACTACCCTTCATCAGCAGTGCAGTTCACAGGTAGCTTAGGAGTATACTCCTCTAATCTATGCTCCTTTGAGGAGTGTTGCCTTATCCATGACAGGCCATCTCACTAATTTCTGTACCCATGAGCCACTTACCCACAGCAGCTCCATCTAATCATGATTCAGCTTCAGTTTGTTGGCTTGCATCCAGCCCATCACTGCCTACAGGCACTGGTCCAGGACTTGCACATCTTCTTCTGATTCAGATGGCATGGAGCGATAGAGTTGGGTGTCACCTGTGGGCTATTGCACTCCAAATCCCCAGAGGCCATCTCCTAGTGATTCCATATGCATGCTGACTAACATGGGAAACAAGACGGATCCCCGTGGATCTCAAACCCCTTGCCCAAGAAAGGGTGTGTGTGTGTGTGTGTGTGTGTGTGTGTGTGTGTGTGTGTGTGAAGGCAGCAGTTGCATAGAAACTTGGTGTCCTGTTGAGGAAGATAGTTCTTCAGTACGATGGGCACCTTCTTCCTAAATGAGGCATTAACTACTCTCTGGACCAGTCAGACCTTCCCTGCCACATCGTAAAAGCAATGGTGGGCACAAGGGTCGAGAGAGCACACCCACACCCCTGGGCCTCAATAACTGAAGCTCATATTTCAAACTCTGAGCAGATGGTGCTCTAAAGGTCCTCACAGGACCCGCATCAACTGTGGGGTCAGATTTGCGGTGGGGATGAGCGACTCAAAGGCCCCCAAGGGCCTTGATGAAACTTTCACGGTGTGCTTAAGAGTGTTTAGCCATGAATGGTCTCAAATTGATAACACGGTGCAAAATAAGCATTTAAAAAAACACACAAAGTAGTCTTATAGGAGGCAAAGAGGTTTGCCCTCCCTCTTAAAATTCTGAGAGCCAATGTAAGAAATCGTAACCTTCTCTAGGAATAATAAAATGAATACTGGCTTCCCCACTGCCCTCTTGAGGTGGTCTTGAAGGGGCCAATGGCAAGTGCGTTGGTGATGTCAGAAACACCTGTTTCTTAGGCCCCTCCCCCAAAAGGCTCCGCCCACACTTGCACTCTACTGGGGTTGATTTGCTTCCTTCCTTGGTGGTGCTCTTAGTGCACCAGCACCAGGGGTGGCTGGTGGGAAAAATCAGCCTCCCTTCGCTCCTGCCGTCTCTTTTACCACCTCCTTTGCCCTACCAGCTTCTGAGCTTTGCTACATGGAAGAACAGTCTGATTCGGTATAAGATAACTGCTTTTGTTTAGCCTACCTTGGAGGGTTGCTCTGAGGATAACAAACACATTGATCTGAGCTGTACAAACAGCTGACTTGTGTGACATAGGAAATGGCAGCTGTGTTCTTTATTTCTTTCAGTTAGCTCTGTGTTCCCCATGCTTGGGGGTGGGGGTCTGCAACTGTTGTTGGACTACAACTCCCATCATCTCCAGCTAGCAGAGATGATGGGAATTGTAGTCCACCAACAGCTGGAGACCCAAGTCTGAGAAACACTAAGGTAGCTGACCTTAAAATATATTTCTGTGTTTTAGTATACATGGGGAAGTGATTAGGCACACCCACCTACATACCTGCCTCCTGTAATATCACTCTCTGTCTGGTTCAGCAGGCCATGCCTCCTTTTTAACTGTGGCGGCCGATGGTTTTGTTGAAAGTTAATTCCATGTGTTGTTTCTTGCAGGCAGATCTGCAAAGAATTCACTGAACTCCTCACTCAGGACCGCACCCCTCTTGGTAATGCGAGGCCGAGCCCCATCTTAGACCCTGGCATCCAGGGCTGCTTGACTCACTTCAGCCTAATCACCCACGGCTTCGGGAGCGCTGCGATCTGTGCTGCCATGACGTCCGTCCAGAACTACCTGAACGAAGCGCTAAAAATTGCAGACAAAACGTACATGAACGCCGGCGACCAGAGCCCTGCGGAAACCAATAAAAGCATTGAGAAAATGGACAAGCACCGGAAGTGAGTGAGAAAGAGGAAGAAGCCAGACTTTTGTATACCGTTTCTCGCACACAGACTTTAAGATCGTCTTGCCTAGAGGGCATGTAGATAATCTTGTTACAACTTGCTTCGGGGCGTGTTTTTCGTTTTTTAAGCATCCTTTTCAGGCTCCTCCGTGAGATACATGTGTCTCTCTTTCTCTCCTTTCTTTAAAGCTGCTGTTATCCATTCATTGTGGGACCAGGGAACCGAAGATAAACATGAGTACAAGCTTTTAATTCATTTTTAAAAGAAAGAAAAAAACTTTTAAACAGTACAAAGTGGTGCTATTTTTTTTTCTTGTATGGAAGTCTGTTTAGTGCTGTTTCTCAAAACTTTGAATAAGATGCTCTTTTGCATTACGTACATCCTGATAGCATCATTCAGATGGAACACTAAACTGTGGTTTTTTAATGTTACCTGAAGCCCTGGAATTGAGAACCTCCCTCTTTGCAGTTGCAAGGATGAAATAGGAAGCGTTTGCTTCCTGCCTGACACCAAGTATAGTTTATCTGTATGTTAAAAAAGGACAAACCATCATTAGTGTAAATTAATCTGCCCCAGTTGATGCTCTCTAACTGTTTTGTACTGCAGCTTCCATCAGCCCACGGTAAGGGATTATGGGAGTTGTAACCCAAAATGTCTGAAAGGCATCAAGATTGGGTGCAAGCTATGGTTTGATAATAACAATCCAGGACTATAAACCCCATGCCGACCCAGGTTGCTTCAATAAATCACATGTTTACACACAAATCATTGTTTGTCATTCTGAGATGTCACAATAAACTAAGGTTAGTGTTAAACAGAAGGCAAATGCTTCCAGTTTCCTTCTCATGGCTGTGCCAGAGAATAAGAAGAGAAGAATGGGTTATAAGCAGGATTTCCCGGGTTCTGGAAATCTTTGGAAACCAGCAACAACATAGCTCAGTATTAACCCCAGGGGATCTGAAGCCTTGACAAGGCACCCAGGACTGTAGATGTATCCAAAGGGAAGTTGAACTTGGTATAAAGTGAAACAAATTGTCTGATGGTTATTTGAACACCTTGCATCACCTTGCAACCTCTTGGGGGCTTTTTGAGAGTGATTCAGACTTCTAGGCACAAATCCTGGAAGTTATTCTAATGCAGACTAAGCTTCTGCTGGACTCAAATGAACACAGAGCAGCAAGCACTAAAGTGGGGAAGCGGAACCTTCAGCTGCTCAGATCTTGCTGGACTACAGTTCCCATCATCCTCAGCTGGCATGGCTGGGGATGATGAGACTTTGAGTCCAACAGTGCCTGGGAGACCACAGGCTTCCCATCCCTGCAGTAAAGCGTACTGTAGCAGTTCTTCTTACACAAGGAAAAACTAGTTCAAGCTAAAAAGAATGCAAAATAAACTTGCTTCTGTTTTTTAAATGCCAGGATACTGCAGCTTTATATATGTCACCAGGTCTTGTGTTTTTAAAATAGGAAAAAAACTTGAAAGAATAGGCACATTTTTTTTAATTTTTTTGCCTATATAGGCCAAAAAGTTATATATATATATATGAATATATATAAATATATATAAATATATCCAGGGAGGTTTTTATGTGTATAAGGGAAAACAGTGTGTTGGAATGTATATATTTATTTATGTGTAATTTAATGGGTCTTGTAAATAATGGTGAACATTTTAATACTTTTTTTTTTATAAATGGGCTTCAAAATTTAAAATCCCCCCCCCTTTCCTCCCCAAAAAAGGTAATGGGTAAGCTCAAATACACTGCTACACAGGTCTGTTTATGCTGGGTATTTAAAAGTGACTTTTTACAAAAAAAATAAAAATGAAAATCCAGAATTCTTGCCACTGTAGAATTTTGTATCCGATCTGAGGTGTGTATTTACAAAGCAATAACTTTGTGTACTTGGTATCCATTCAAAAGGAGTGTGTTTGTTGTGTGTGTGTGTGTGTGTGTGTGTGAGAGAGAGAGAGAGAGAGAGAGAGTGTGAGAGTGTGTGAGAGAGAGAGAGAGAGAAAGAGAGGGGGAGGGAAGAAGAATGGAAGTCATAAAAAAAAAACTATATCCCACTTAACTTGTAAATGTCTTCCTGTTACCCAAAAGGCATTGTATAGGATAATCCATATAATAAAAATATTCTGGATAGAAAGTATTGAATGGTGTTTAACTGGAAGTGGGTTGGGGGGGCGGGAAGAGGAAGAGTGTTTTTGCGTCTTATGGGGGATGGGCAGCAGAATACCGAAAATGGACATTGTAATTGAATACACAGTTCTTTATAGTGCATCAAACTAATGGAACAGACATGTGAAGCTGAGTGCCAGCGCAGCTAATGGTTTCAATTATATCAGGAACCATCTCTCTATTGCCATGACTGCTCTCTTCCCCTACCTCCGTCCTCACGGATAACGATGTGCCAAGGCAAAGAAGGAGCCTGAAAGCTTCCTTTAAAAAATAATAAAATAAAATAAAATGCTCTGTCTAATCACTTAAGCATATAAATTCAGAGCTGGCCCAAGGCAGAGGAGAAGGTGGTACCTCCCTCCCATGGTCAGAAGGTGACTGAGGGCCAACTTCAACACTGGCTACAGGATGGCAAAACCCCCCTGCACCATATGAGGGGTGGGGCCTGCTGGCTAGTTTAGGGGGTACAGGGCATTCCTGGCTTCTGCCCTCCAACAAAGGGGAGCAGCCAGGGAGGTGGTGCTGCTGCTACTCCTCAGCTTCTGCTGTCTGAGGCACTTGTCTCCCTCTGTCCAATGGTTGGGTGCATTGAATCTGAGGGTTCCAAAGGCACAGGCCTATGGTGCATGTTTTGTTTCTATGCCCATCCCAGCAATTTCTAATGTGGCAATTCCTGAAATGGGAGAGCGTAACTGCAGTTCCATGCATTGAAAGCCTCAAGGTTGGATTACAGCAATGCGCTTGTGGGGTCAAACTACCACCAACTGATCTATAAGGCCCTGCACTGCTTGGGATCTGGTTACCTGACAGACTGCCTTATTTCTTACATCCCCAGTAAGGCACTGGGTCTCGTTTAAGTTTCCCACTCTACAGCAACTCAGAGCAGGGCCTTCACAGTGGCTGCCCCTGCTCCATGGAATAATGATGAGATATGTCAGGTGCCCACGATCCATACTTTATAGGTCTCTGCCATGGGCACCCACTTCGTCTTTCCTTAAAAACCCATCTTTGGTTCTTTGCGCTCCTTTTAGCTGCTTCTATTATATTTTGTACATCACCTTGGGACCCTGGAAGGATTGGTCCAAGGGCAAAGGGAGCCACTTCTATCAGCTGTTTGAAAAGCTCAGCAACTTTCAAGGCGTCCTGGTTTTTACTTTTTGAAATAGGGCAACCCTAGACATGGGGAAGTGCTTGCATCAGTCCAGGTGAGAGGTGGGGTAGCTTTGGGTTGAGATGTTCGGATCAGTCTCTCTTTGTCTGCGTTGTATCTCGGTGATTAGAGAGGTGGGTTTTGGGAATGATGTGTCTGGGCCAAGGACGGGGAGAGGAGGGCTGCAAGCGCAGTAAAGATGGGGAAGATACAGAGGTAGCTGAATGTCTGCAAGGGAGGAAAAAGGCCTAGTTACATCAATTCTGTTCCCGCAGCAAACCAAGCACCAGATTGCCTTCAGTTCCTCTGGAGGATTAACTGTCCCTCCTCTCCCCCTCCCCCTTCTAGCTAGCTGTTAACCTGGCAAAAAGTCATTTCCTTGGCACTGAAAGTGCTCAGATCATTGAATTGTTCCTGCTGCGAGGACGCATCGAGGACGCATCAGGAAGTGTCTTCTGTTTTCTGTCGCAACTCTCTCTGAGTTACTGCTCTGGCCTGACCAGCTTCCATTAAGGAGGCACAGCAGGAACACTATCTCTCACAAAAATACAGAGATCTGGCTCCTGCTAGGTGGATACGTCTTCCTGTCACACATCCTACTGGGGGGGGGAGGGCTGAGGAGAAAGAGTTTGGAGTACAGAGGTTTGGTTCTGTCTAGTTTTCAGTGCTGGTTCCACAGATCAGGCCAAAAGGAAGCTTTTCACTTCCCCTTAAAATGGAACCCAAATTGTAATTTTCCAAAGCCTTGTGAGTTGGTTCAACTCTTTTAGCACCTGATGAGTGCAGTGCAAATTGGTGACCTGATTTGTGGGGGGTTGCAGGAGGAGCCTTCTAACGCAACTGGGTTGTTTGCTTGACGTGTCGTAGCTGAAACCAAACCAGTTTGCCCTCCTGGATCCAAGGTGCTGATTTTAAGCTCGTAAAAATCTTCAGCCTGCGCTACCTCCTCTCCCCATATCCTGGTGCCATCTTTATGGAGGGTGTGCTCTGGGCAGCGTACCTTTGTGGCAAGGAAGGTCTGCAAGAGAGCACTCACAAGGTAGCCTGACTCCACCTGCTCTCCGGATCCGACTTCCTCTCTTTCCAAATGGGTCCATGGCTCAGTGGTAGAGCTTAGTGCCTTGCATGCAGAGGGTTCCAGGTTCCATTTTTAGCAACCGCAGTCAGATGACTGCAAGCCATGCCTCCTCTAGAATTCAACCTTGCAAATTGTTTTTAAACTGAAGGATGAAACTGATACTAAAAAGATGTGTGTTCTGAAAGCTTCACACTATGCAAGATCATTAGAGGGAAAATTGCACTCCAGGTACACTTTTCATTGCAGGATTTACACAGAAGTAGGCCTATGACAAGAAGTAGACCTATGGCCTATGATAAGGGATGTGGGTGGCACTGTGGTCTAAACCACTGAGCCTCTTGGGCTTGCCGATCAGAAGGTCAGCGGTTCAAATCCTCGCGATGGAGTGAGCGCCCGTTGCTCTGTTCCTCCTCCTGCCAACCTAGCAGTTCGAAAGCATGCCACAAAGTGCAAGTAGATAAACAGGTACCTCTCTGGTGGGAAGGTAAATAGCGTTTCTGTGTGCCGGTCTGGTTTTGGTGTTTTGTTGAGCCAGAAGCGGCTTAGTCATGCTGGCCACATGACCAGGAAAAACTGTCTGCGGACAAACATTGGCTCCCTCAGCCTGTAAAGTGAGATGAGCACCACAACCCAGAGTCGTCTGCGACTGGACTTAATTGTCAGGGGTCCTTTGCCTTGGTTTGTTTTTTTTAGACCTATGACATAGTTCTCCTAGGTGAAGCTACCTTAAAGGCTAGTTATCTTCAACAGGCATTCTTCAGATGGCAGGTATAGTCACTGAGGATCTATTTTCCTTTCTCACACACAGGAGGCTAAAGGAATACCCCTTGCAAGGTGGTGACACCTGTGGCAAGTGCATAAATCATTAAACAGGTATATGTTCCCTGCACTCCCCCACCCCCAAAGGCTGAAAATTTAGGCTGCACTCCTGTACACACTCAATAGATTCTTTTTTTTCTCTGAGCAAACATGTAAAGGATTGCATGGCCGATCAATTAAAACACATATGAACCGCCAAGAAGTTCCATTAGTTAATATTTTGTAGTAGGTCAGTGATGAAGGATGGAACAAGAAGGATGAGGTTCTAACTTCTTTTTGTAGATTTACATAAAAGAAGACACCCAAATCTTGCTTGAGGAACAGGCATTCTCATTCAGAGTGAGAAATGCTGGCCATAAGGAAAACTGAGCATCATGAAAAGATTAAGAAGGAACTTCTGTCCCTCTTCAAATTGCTGTGTGCTGCTTTCTTTTGTGCAGAGAGAGAGAGAGAGAGAGAGAGAGAGAGAGAGAGAGAGAGAGAAAGAGAGGAGCAGACTTTGATCATACCGTAGTACAATATTTTAAATTAGCTGAACAGAAAAAGCTTGCTTTTTATTAGTGTATCAAGCTAGACACTGCGGTTGCCGTCTGGCAGAAGGAATAGGCTTGTTTCCATTTATTTCAGGATGTACCCAAGCCAAGCCAGTGGATAATCTAGTGGGACTTACTGGTGCATTGTATAGATGAGACACCCCCCCCCCCCATCTTAATATGCATGACTGTGCTAATGATATAGATTATAGCACAACCATGTCTACTCTCATACTTAAGAGGCTTCATCTTTATTCTGTTTTTCTTAAAAGTAATAACAATAGAGGAAGAGGAAATACTCTGCTAATTAAAAAAATAGAAATTTTATTTCTTACAGCACTGTTGTAAAGGGATTTTTCAAGCAGCCTCCCCCCCCCCGCCTCCAGTTTTGCCTTACTCTCAGAGCAATTCTGTAATAATGGCTTGCCATGTAGAAAAATGAGTCAGGGAAGAACTAGGAAAATAAACAAATTCAAGTTCCCACTCTTTCTTTATGGTTGCCTTCGGATGTCACAGTAAACAATGGTTTATTGTGACAGGAACAAGTCTAGCTCAGACTCATTCACTGGTGCATGAGTCCTCTGGCACAGTCACAAGGAGAAGACTGGAAGCTTTTGTTTCCTTTTTTGATTAACAGCAATTTAACATTATTTCCAAACTCTAAACTGTGGTTAGTCTTAACTATGATTTGTTGAAACAAGCCAAATTCCTATACCATGGTTTGAAGTCAGCTAATCTCAAGATAACCATAGTGAAGATTAGCCATAGTTTGGTATGGGAAAACAACAAGCCGTGGTTAATCAGAAATGGAAGATCAAGTGTCTCATCTCTTCCTTGCAGTTGTGCCTGAGGAGGAGAAGGGCTGTTGGTGATGTCCAAACATGGCCACAGTTACGTAATTAAATAATGTTATTACCACCAGGAATAGTCCATGCAGGAGATAAGATATTAGTAACCGCCATGGTCCAGTTGCATGTAAAGCTAATCCAAACCATGGCTTTGTGTGAATGAGCAAGGATTTGGGTTTCTAGAGTGAAGATAATGGCTGTGGTACTCTTCCATAGGTCCTGCAG